CCCGCCGCCCTCCATGGCCACCAGGCCCGCCGTTACCACGGCAACCGCCCGGCGCCTGGCGATGACGTCACGAGCGGCGGTCTGGCCGCCGCATCGCCGCCATCGAGACGCGGGGTCCGCCAAGGCCGGGCGGGGCGTGCGGGCTCCGCACAGCCCTGTTGGGGTGCGGGGGTAACGCAAACTCTGTGGGTACCCCCCCACAGAGGTGCCGGGTCAGATCCCGGCCCCACGGAACTTTAGGGGGATAAACCCCATCTTTGGGAGTTTGGGGGGGTGGGAGAGGTGGCAGCCTCCCCACCCCTTTACCCCCACCTCCACCCTGGGGTCTTGGCGGGAATATCAAACCCCAGCCTCACCAGTAACTGCGGGGGATTATCCCAAATCCCAGCCATCCCTTAGGATCTTGGCAGCTGGCCCCAAATTCTAATGCCTCTGGGTTTGTGGTGGGGAGCATCCCCGTACCCCCCTACCACCTTAGGGGTGGCAGGGCAACCCAAATCTCACCTTCTGCTAAGTTTGGGGGCGCAGTGGTCAGAGCAAAGCCTGTCCCCCCGTGGCTGGGAGGGGATATCTATCCAAATCGCAGCCCTGTAGCATCTCGGGGAAGGGCTCACAGCCCCGCTGGGCTGTGGGGCAGCAGCACCACGTGGCCCCCTCTGCGGGGGCTCAGCCTCAGGACGCAGCCCCCAGCCCCACTGCAGAGTCCCCTCTCCTGCCCCACTAAGGGCTATGGCAGGGTGGCAGGTCCCTGCTGGGGGGGGTCACAAACCTCCCCCACCCCCCCAACTCCTTACCATCACTTATTCTGGGAAAGCAGCAAAAGGGGAAGAAAAAAATAGCACTTTTTCATAAATTATTGATCTTCAGGCCCTTGGTGCTAATTTGGAGTGGGGGGGGGGGGGGGGGGGGGGTTGGTGCAGGGAAGTTCTGCTCTCCAGCGGGGTCCAAGGGGCCAAACCCCCATCACTGCTCCCCCGGTGTGGGCGGCACAGCCGCCCCCCAGCTCTATATTTAAAAAATCAAGTTGCCATGACTACGTGGAGCAGCTCTCCCCCGCCCTCGGTGCCGCAGGAAAGCACCATGGACCCCGCAGCCCCCCCTCCCTGGATTGCCTTTTGAGGGATAAAAGCAATATAAACCCCCCAAACTGCCTCAGAGCCGAGCTTAACTCTGTCGTCCACCAAGGCCTGGGCGAGACACAGGCGCCGTCACACCGCAGAAAACACACATTAATTTTATTATTATGGCCACTGAGGAGGAGGCACGAGAGCAGGTTCATGTGCAGGGCCGGGGGGTTCCCTGGGGTGCAAACCCACCCCCACCATGGGTCTTCCTGCAAACGGAGCCGCTGTCTTGTCCGGATTGATCCCCGAGGAGGGTCCAGCACCGGCTCGGGGCGCAGGGAGGGCACCTCGTGCCCCACGGCCGCCGGCGCTCAGCACACGGCAGCCCGGGGCCCGCGCAGGCTGCACCCCCTCATGTCGCTGGCCAGCCGCAGCACGGCCGCTCGCCCGGGGTCCCCCAAGGGCGTCCCGGCGCCGAAGGCCTCCTCCTCCTCCTCCTCCAGGATGGAGCTGAGCCGAGGGGCGCAGCGGGCCCGCTCGGCCGGCGGGCGGTAGGGACACTTGGCGTTGAGCAGCTTGCGGAGCGGCACCAAGGGCACGATGGCGTCGCCCAGGAGCTGCTGCTGGACGTGGCGGAAATCGCTCTGTCTCTTGAGGCGCTTGAACTCGTTGAAGGCGGAGGCCGAGGTCTGGTAGAGGAGCAGGGCCATGGCGCGCGCCTTGTCGGCCTTGGAGACCAGCACGGCGTGGCAGCGCAGCACCACCGCCTTGTTCTTCACCTGGTGCCGGTACACCCAGGCGAACACCTTGGGGTGCCGGCGGTCGGCGGCGCAGTAGGTGATGCGGTGCAGCAGGTACGCGTGGCCCGGCCGGCGGGCCCCCTTCTCGCAGGGCGTCATGCGGATGCCATGCGGGCCCAGCGTCAGCGTCATCTTGGCCCCGCCGGCGCCTGCCTCGCTCTTGGCCCAGATCTTGCCCACCGCCTCTTCGGTGCAGCCCTCGCCCTTGGCGTGCAGGGTGACGGCGTTGCCCAGGTACCTCACCGTGTACGTCGGGTCCTCCTTGTTCAGCTCCACTTTCTGGCGCTTCCCGCGGAAGACGCTGCCCAGGCGCTCCAGCGGGCACTCGGGCAGCAGGTCCGGGCAGGAGCGGAGGAAGCCGGCCAGCAGCGCCGCGTAGCTCAGCCCCGGCCCCAGGCTCTTGCCTTTGCACTTACGTTCATTTTCCACCAGCACGAACTTGCTCCGGCGCCAGGGCAGCATCTCGGCTCCGCTCCGCTAATGCCGGCCTCGCTCGCAAGCAGCGGGACCACCCCCCCAAGCCCCGAAGCCGGTTTGGGGGGTGTCCCCGCACCCCCCGCGCAGGGGGTGTCGTCCCCTACCCCGGCAGCGGGACGCGGCCCCGTGTCCGATCCGGCTGCCCACGGAGGATGCGGAGCCGAGGAGCCGCCGCGTTCCGGGTGCCGCCTGCGCCTGATGCTGCGGGAGCGGCGGCGGCTGCGGGGACGCGGCTCTCCGTGGGCTGCTCCACCTCCCCGAGCACGCGGGAAGCCGCCGGTGAGCGGCCCCCGCCGGCGAACGGCCCCCGCCGGTGAACGGCCCCCGCCGGCTCCGTGCGCGCCCGCTCCGTGCCCCGGCAGGCAGAGGAAGCCGGGGGGAATCAAGCCCCCCACCCCCTGCAGCAGCCGGACCCCCAGCGCCGAAACCCACCGGCGTCTGGGGAAATTCCCTCATCTCCCACCCGGGTGGAGGGATGATTTTGGGAGGATCAGATGATGGCTTCTGACACTGGAGCGACAAAAAGGTGGGGGTTTTCCCCCCAAATCAGTACGTTGCACAAGGGTGTGTGCCAGGATTTGCAGATCCTGCAGGTTTGCTGGCATTTTTTCCTCCAAACCTCCCATTTGCTCCTGTTATTTCCAAGCCTGTCAGACCTCCTTGCTGCTTCCCTCCTTTTGGGCTGAGCTGGCTTTTAACCTGTTGCTTTTATCTCTGGCCAAGGCCCTAGGACAGCTTCTCTCCAGGAGAAATGGAATGTTATTTCCCCATGGCGCAGCTCGAGGGGAGTTTTTGGGGACCACTGCAAGGTTTCAGCCCTGTAGTGGAGTCTGAGGCTGCTCAGGATTCAGTGCTTTTGGCTCAAACCCTGATTTCCACCTTTTCTGATTTTTTTGTGGTTGTTTTTTGGTTTTTTTTGGATTTTTTTTTTTGTTTTTTTTTAACCATCTGGATGTAAAGCAGGGAGACCTCTGGCCTTGGGGATGCTCTGTTTGCCTTGGGATTAAAAATGGGGAGGAGAAAGGGGTAGAGTAACACCATGTCCCCCCACTTTTAGTCTGCTTGGAGAAGAAAATCAGAGTGGGGTGTTGCAGGGAACGGGAAGCCATTTCCCAGCAGCTTCCCAGATTTTCTGCAGTTTGAGTGAAGCAAATACAGCCTTAAAATAGCAGCTTCACAGGCAGACAGCACCAGCCCCACTCTCTCACTGCCGCGGCCTCGACAGCCTTGTAAGATTTTGCAGCCAAAATAATAAAAAATGCATGAATTTGTCTGTTTTTCAGCTTTTCTGATGCAAACATGAGCTGTATGGTTTGCTCCCAGTGCAAGGATGGTTTTGGGGAGATTGCAATTAGGGAATTAGTGCTGATGAGGGAGATCCCTACCCATGCTAGCCTCTGTCTTTCGTAATTTCTATTCTTGCTCTCATTGACTCGTGTTTACTTGCTTGGTGTTCATATTGAGAGGGCAGGTGTGAACCCACCCTGAAAGCTTCTTTATTTACAAATCCCACATTATTAGGGTCGGGGGGGCTGTGGTATCCCTCTACACTGGTTTGATCCCACAGTGCCACCCATAAGTTGCCCTAGGACTGGTTTTCCTTTTTCTCACAGATTTTGGGGGGCAAGGGAGACTCTGCACCACATTGTATATAGGGGAAAACAACCTGGATTTACACTTGAAAGCTGAGAAAAGAGATGTGGGCTGGTTCAGGGCTGCCAGTCCCTCCTCTCACTCACTGCCCTGGCAAGTAGAGAGCTGTCATCACTGGGTTCAGAGTGAACAAGCACCCTGGCAGTGTGTGGGAGGTGGGTTTCCTGGTTATCCCTTGGACGATACAGATCTCAGCATCCCAGCTGTGGTTTCTTGGGGTACCTGTGGTGGTCTCACTGTCCCATACTCTGTTTCAGCTCTGGGAATTTCAGCCCCATCAGAAGCCACTCCCAATTTGGATGTTGCTTCCCAGCCTGTTGTGGCTCCTCAGCAGTGACCCAGCAGCAAGATTTGATGGCAAAACCAGCAGGTAAGGTCAAAATCCTCCCAAAATCCAACAACTGGACAAAAATCCCAGTGATAAATCCCTCGGGGCTGTGACAACTGTCCTTGCAGCTAGAAAATGGGGCTGGAAGCTCCTTGGGCAAGGGGAAAAATAGAGAAATCCTTAATTAAAAAGCAATTTGATGATCACCTGGGAGCCCTTCACCTTGTGTGGGCTGATTCCTGTGGAAGCACCAGCCAAACTGAATTTGGGCTCCAGCATGAGGGCATCTGAAATTGGGCTTTTGACCACCTGTGTCTTCAGCCACTTTCCTCTGCTGCCTGTAGTTAGAAGACCTGTGAAAATATTATTTTGTATGATATTTTTTTTTAATGCTTTCAATCTTTTTTATTTATTTATTTTGATCTCACTGATCAGGAGCTGTTGTTCCTTCCCCCCAGGAACGATTTAAGGACATTTTCCTGTGGAGCCACAGAACCAGTTTTGAACTGAGGAGGAAAAAACCCCCGGGATGGTGGCAGAAAAATGTTCTGCTGGGATAGAAAAAGGAGGAAGTAAACTATGAAAACAGGTGAAATTGGAAAAAATGAGGCAGCAGGCAGGGAGAGGATGTGGGAATCCCTGAACACGGTGCTTTGGGGGCCAGGACTGCCCCTGAGGATGCTTCCCAGAGTTCAGCTGCGTGCCGGGGCGTTATCCCGGCGTCCCGGCCAGCCTATTTTCCAGGCGAGGAAATATTTAACCGCGGCGTCAGCGGGCAGGGCAGGCAGCTGCAGGAATGGAGAGAAGCGGGCAGCACTCATTCCCTGCTGTCCCCCCGGGCCAGCCTCAGGGTGACCATCTCCAGCTCCTGCTGCGCCGCAGCCAGGAGGCCAAAAACTGCGCCTATTGCCCCTACAGCCGGTTCCCGGTGGGAGCTGCACTGCTCACCGCCGGCGGGGAGATCTTCTCGGGTAAGATGGGGATCTGAGACCCACCCCGGGGATTTTGGGGAGCCCCCAGCAAGCCTTGGGTCATGTGTGAGGGTGTAGCGGGGTCATCCCCGGGGTGCTGGTGTTGTGTGTCCTCCCCCGCTGTCTCTTGGCAGCTGCCATCCCGGACCAAGCCAAAGATCACGGCGGATGGGAAAATAAATAGAGGAAGCAGGGAAAATGGCTTTTCTTTGTCAATTCCCTGAGAAGAAAGGAGCTGGTGGGGTTTGGGATGGCTGATGCCGGGGTTGTCCCTGCAGGGTGCAACGTGGAGAACGCCTGCTACAGCCTGGGGATGTGCGCCGAGCGTGGTGCCATCCAAAAAGCCATCTCTGAGGGGCACACCAGCTTCAAGGCCATGGCCATCGCCAGGTGAGGGTGCTCCGAGAGCCGGAATGGTGGGGAACCAGCAAGAGAACCCCCACTGCTCCTCAGGGACAGCTTTTGCAGCAGCCCCGTTGTTTGGGGAGGGAAATAAAGTTTTTGCATGCTGTTTTTGGAGGAATTGGGGGGCAAATCTGTTGTGGCTCTGTATTTATTGGGGCATGAAGGTCTTCTGCAGGTGTTCTCCCCTCCTCTGACCTCAGGACTGACCTCTGTGCCCTTCTCCTTTGGCAGTGACATGGGGGACCACTTCATCACACCCTGTGGCGCCTGCAGACAAGTGATGAGAGAGGTGACAACTTGTGTGGGGCTCTGTGGCTCATTCCCTGATCCCCGACACCATCCCCTGACCCCAGGCATCTCCCCCTAAAACAGCTGGACGTACCAAGGAGGGTGCAACCCCGCCATGCTCAGCCCCAGGGCTGGCTCCAGGCTCCTCAGATTTCATTATCTCCTGGCAAAGGGGTATTGCAGCCCTGGGTGGGTGTTCAGTGGGAATTCATTAGCTTGCCTTCCAGGTGCAGGGATTTGCCTTTGAGTCCTTGCTCTGGCAAGCCTGAAAATGGGGGTTTTCTTGCAAAAGCTGAACTTTCCAAGATCCTGTCCGGCTCTCCTCTGCGGGAATCCCAGCACCCACACCCTGTTTTGGGGTTGTTAATATTTAATGGGTCGTGGGGCTCTGCTCAAGGGTCAGATTCAGCGGGTTCAGAGGCACTGGGGCTCATGCTGGTGGGGTAACAACACAGGATCCGAGCCCAGAATATCCTCTGAGGGAGGTAATGCTGATAAACCAACCCAAAATACACGTAATAGAGGGGGATGCTCCCTGTGAACCTGAAAAAAAAAAAAGGGTATATGAGTAATTTGGGGAAGGAATGCAGGTTCTTCCCTTCTTCTCCCTCATCAGGCTCTTCTTTCTCCTCCTCCAGTTTGGCACAGACTGGGATGTCTACCTGACCAAAGCAGATGGCACCTACATTGTCAAGAGGCTGGAGGAGCTGCTGCCACTCTCCTTTGGCCCTGAGGACCTGAAGAAGGTCTGAGCAGCGTGGCCACCATCAGCATTTGCCCTTAGGCACAGGGGACATTGGTTTTCCCCGATTTTCTCAGCTTGTAAGCAGCTTTTTGGGAGCAACACAGTGGGAAATCTGTTTATACTGTTAAGTTGCCTGTTCCTCTGTCTCATCTTCTAATTCAGTGTTGATTCGCAGACTCCAGCTCCACCTTGCCCCAAGGAAATGGCAAAATCAAATAATAGAAATTTCCTGTTATTAGTAAAAAAAGCATCCAGACATCCCTGTAGGCCAGGGAGGACATGGGTTTGATGCAGAACTCAAACAGGCTTTGGTACAGAAACCACTCCTGAATAATGCAAAATCATTGCTTGGGAAAGTGCTGGATCCTTCAGCTCTAAAAAGAAGTGAAAGCAAGAGGGAAAAGGTCCATCAGCCCCAGAAGCAGTTAGTGAGCCAATCCAGATTAGGTGAATTGCTGGAACAGGGTGGTTATTGCACTGACCGTGTCCTTTGCTCCTTTCTTCCCAGCTTGTTTTCCTAATTTCTATTCTGTTTGGGGTGAAGAAGAGGACAAGGAGGTTTTGGGGTGTTCTGGAGGGTTTCGTGCCTCCAGGGTAATGCCATTTCTTGATTGCATATTGATTTATAATACAATGATAAATGAATTCATTACATTTCCCAACCTGCACTGGGTTGAGCATTTCTGCCATGACTAAGTGAAATAAAAACAGTTTTGGTTTATCTCCTGCAGTTGTAGCAAGTAATGAAACACAGGGGGTGGGGTGCCGGGGCTGTCCTGCAGCCCAGGCAGGGCCGGGGGTGCTGGCTGTGCCCTGGGAACCTCATGAGGTTCAGCAAAGCTGAGTGCAGGGTGCTGCCCCTCAGTATCCGTACTGGCTGGGGGATGGAGAACACTCCTGCTGGGAAGGGCTTGGAGACGCTGGTGGATGAGAGGCTGGATGTGCCTGGGCTGTGGGGCTGATCTCGCAGCAGGGGAGGGATTCTGGCACAGGGTGCTCACAGAAGCTGTGGCTGCCCCTGGATCCCTGGAAGTGTCCAAGGCCAGGTTGGATGGGGCTTGGAGCAAGCTGGGATAGTGGAAGGTGTCCCTGCCCATGGCAAGAGTGGGACTGGGTGAGCTTTGAGGTCCCCTCGAGCCCAAATCAGTCTGTGATTCTGTGATTTGACGACTCCACACACTGGGTTGTGCCCTGGCTGTTTCCAGGGCAGTGCTGTGCTCCATGCCAAGCCACTCCCAGCTGTGGCATCCATGCCCTGCATTGCACAAGGCTTTACCTTGGTTGCACCCTGCTCTGTGCCCTGCTCCATGACCCGTTCCATGCCCTGCCTGATGCCCCACTCCATCTCCCCTTCCATATCCTGCTTCATGCCTTGCTACATGTCCCCTCACATGCCCTCTTCAGTACCCACTCCACACCTGCTCTATGTCTTGCACTGTGCCCTGTTCCATGTCCCACTCCCATGCCCTGCTCCCTGCCCATCTCCATGCCCCACTCCCTGCCCATTTCCACACTTCGCTCCATGCCCCATTCCCTGCCCCACTCTGTGCCCCATTCGCATCCCCACTCCATGCCCCATTCCATGCCCATTTCCATGCTCCACTCCATGCCCACTCCCTGCCCCAATCCATGCCCATTCCCTACCACAATCCATGCCCATTCCCTACCCCACTCCATGCCCATTCCCTGCCCCCCTCCATGCCCATTCCCTGCCCCACTCCATGCCCATTCGGCGGGGCCGCGGCGGCGGCGTCTGCCTGGCGCTGGCCATGGCGCTGGGCCTGGTGGAGCCGCGCCTGGAGGAGCAGCGCCGGGCTGAGGCGGCGTGTCGCCACATCCAGGTGGGAAGCGGCCCGGGGATTCCGCTGGGCAGCGCCTCCGTGAGGGGCAGGGGGGGCCTTGCCGGGGGGGAGCCTTCAGTCACCTCCCAAGAAGGGCACAGGAGGCCGTAGCCCTCCAGACATCCTTCTTGAAAGAGAGGGTGGTCCTTGATGTGTGGAGCCACTTGAACGCCCCCCATGAACAGCACGGAGTGTCAGTGCTGTGGGGAGCCACTTAGACACGCCCCCCCATGAAGGTAGGGGGGTCCTTGCTTTGGGGAGTCCCTCAGACACCCCACTAAGGGTAGCTTCTCATTGCTCTGGAGAAGCCGTTAGACATCATCCATAAAGGGAAGGGGGATTCTTGTGAAGAACCCCTGAGATGCCCCCGTCAAGGCGGGGGTCACTGCTGTGGGGAGCCCCCCCAGACAACCTTGCTGAAGGGGAGGGGAGAGCCTTGTTTTATGGAGCCCCTCAGACATCCCTCATGAAGGGAAGGGGGGTCACTGCTGTGGGGAGCCCTCCTGACAGCCCCTGTGAAGGGCACAGTGGGGAGCCCCCCAGACACCTTCCCATCTCTCACCAAGGAAGGTGTGGGGTGCTGCAATGAGCAGCCCTCAGGCACCTGCCCAAAGGAGGGGTGCTGGGAGCAGCCCCAAAGGCACCTCTTTCTCCCCAAAAATAGAGTCATGGGAAAGCCTCTCACTCAGCAGCCCCTCATCACCCCAAAGCCGGTACCTTCAAAAGCAAGGGACCCTCACTCCCTGTCTCTCCACAGAGGGAGGGGGTTGGGGCCCTAGTGGTGGGGGTTTCATGTCCCAGGACACTGATGTTGATCCCCATGGGGACCCTGTGGTGCTGGGCTAGGCTGTGCTGGCAGGGCATGGGGGACAGATGGTACTGAACTTACTTCCTGGGTAAAAATAGACCTCTGGTGCTGAGAGCCAGCTGTCACCTGCTCCACCGACCAGCAGACAGATTCCCTGAAGTTTCTCCTGAAGAGGATGCTTTCTCTCCTCTGTCCTTGCTGGGTTGTTCCATTTGCTGTCCCTGGTCTGTGTCCAATGACATCCCTAGGGTGTCACCGCTGCTTTGGGGCTGCAGGTCACAGAAAAGGCCACTTGTTTGTATCAGTATGGTGACAGCTGGGGCAGCACCAGGCCTGTGGGATCATGAACTGTGATGAAACTCCAAAATAGCCTCCTGTGTGTTGTTTTTCCACATCTCTCGATTTCCTCCCCCAGCTCCATCCCATCATAGATTCACTCTCCCTCAAACTAACCAGCCCTCACAGCTGACTGCCACAAAAAGGCCATTGTTTTTCCTGTTTCTGCTTTTAATTGGATTTTCTTTTAAATGCTGTTTGCCTGATTTGTTTATAGAGAGGGAGAAAAGTGTAATAATGCATCTGTTTTCGGAAGTGTTCAGTTAAACTTTTCTTTAGGCAACCACAGAATCATGAAATGGTTTGGGATGGGAGGGAATTTAAGGCCCATCTCTTTCCACCCCTGCCATGGGCAGGGACACCTTCCACTATCCCAGCTTGCTCCTAGCCCCGTCTAACCTGGCCTTGGACACTTCCAGGGGTGGAGCAGCGACAGCTTCTCTGGGAAAATATATTTATATTCTAGATTGGCAAATGACTCTCCCTCCTGGTTCCTCTTCTTCCCTCGAAAAGGGCACCTTTAGAAAAGACTGATTTAGGGGTAAATTGTATCACACAAAAATATATGGCCTGCAGATGATCTTTCATGTAGTTACAGTGAGTTGAGCCTAATGGTTAGAGTCTGATTGAGACTTTCAGGTTGGACCATCCCACCAGGATGTGTAATACCGCTGACACACCAAGTTCTCCTTCACTGGGAAGTCTGGGATAACCGAGCGGGTTTTTTTGTTCATGTTCCTTTCAGACCATGTTTGTTGGGAAGAACAAGCCGCAGAAAGATCCCCTGAGCTCCTTCCGCTGGCAGGGCTTCAAGCTGGAGGAGTACCTCATCGGCCAGCCCATTGGGAAGGGCTGCAGTGCCGCTGTGTACGAGGCAGCTATTCCCTTCTGTCCCACTCCTCGGGATCCTGCCCAGAGCAGCCCTCTCCCAGCCCTGCAGCAGGACTGTGCCTCAGCTTCCCAGGGGGCTGAAGAGGAGCCTGTAGTGAAGCACCAGCCGAAAGGGGCTTTTCCCTTAGCTATCAAAATGATGTGGAACATTTCGGTAAGGAGTCAGCGCTGAATCCCCCGTGTCTGTTGCTGGGGAATTCTGGCTGGAATGTTTAATACTGAAGTGTTGAAAATGCTAATTATGGAGTGCAGGATGAGTGTGTCACAACAAAGCTGTTGGTAGGTGACACTGGAGACGTCGAGTGTTAGTGAAGAGTCCCAGAGCGAGGTAATCAGCATTCATCATCCTCTGGAGTTGGCACTGAGAGCTGTTGCTGGAGCTGTTGGGTATGGAGGTGATGTTTTGGGAAGAAGAGGTTTTCTGAGGCTGGCTCTATTGCAAAGGTCTAAGAAGGGGAAAGCCACTGCTGCCGGTGATTTAGGAATTGGTGTCCTGTCAGTGTCAGGACAGAGGTGGGTTTTCTTCCTGAGGAGGCTCTGGTCTCAGGGTGCACAGTAACCTGCCTGCTGTGTCCCCTTGCCGTGAGTGACTGTCCAAGATCTGCTCCAGCGTTTCCCAGCCTGGGTGACTGGAGATCCAGTTCCTCATTGTGGCTCTTCCATGTTTAAAAAAATCCACGTGGCTTTCCCCATTGATGCAACAAGTGAATATTTCAAGAGAATCTTCCAAAATGCCAACATCTGGAATCCCTTGGTCTCCAGATGTACCCTGGCATTTAGCTGTGGGCTCTTCTACTTGGGTTTGGAAGTTGAAAGTGAGTGCTAAGGTGTAGTTTGGATTACTGATGATCAAGGGTGCATTTGAAGTGACAAATAGATTTCTTTCTGCAAATAAAGGCCTTGTGGCCTCCCTTAGTGAACTCTTTAAGTAGTTAATTGTCTTCCTTGATTTTCAAGGGAGGGAGGTCCTGGAATCTGGTCTCAGTCAATCCAGCTCCAGACGTGGTGCAAGTATCAGGATTATCTGCTCTCAGCTTGCATTGGGGCTGGGTGATTTTGGAGCTGAAGCCAACATGGGGTGCGACTGTTGTTGCAGGCTGGTTCCTCGAGTGAAGCCATCCTCGATGCCATGGGCCGAGAGCTCGTCCCAGCCACAGGCCTTGCCTTGTCCGGGGAATACGGAGCTGTCTCTGGCCACAGGTATGGAGATGGCAAGGTGCTGATTTTATCCCTTGGTTAATTTTGCAG